CTCTGAGGTCATCCCTAGGAAGGAGAGGCTCGGGTGTCCCTCCTATGGCCACCCTGGCAGGTTTACCGGCCCCTGAAGGTGGTTCCTCCTGGAGTGAGACGACCCCACTGTCAGGTCTGGCCGGGTCCTCCTCTGCTGTGGTGGCGGCGAGTGTGTGAAGGAGAGAAGGAGGTGATGAGAGAGAGAGAGAGAGAGAGAGAGAGAGAGAGAGAGAGAGAGAGAGAGTGAGTTACCTTGACCTACTCATATTACTCTTATTGGATTATATTCTGAGTAACTATGACAAGACTCACGCAATACCTTTCTTTTGTGTTGAAGGGTGAGCGTGTTCGAGGTTGAACTTGAGACACTGGAGGAAGCTGTCATTGTCTGGGTCGTCCTTCAGCCTCGTCCCACTTCCTTCCTCCATCCTGCCGCCCTTCACCGCGATGATAGTGCCCTCCTCACCGCCCACGCCACCCGCGTCGCCCACATCACTCACCTGCCGCCCCGCCAACGCCCGGCTGAGCCACTGACGGTGTAGCCGTATGGAGAAGACCACGCCCAACACCACTGATTGGTAGATGACGCAGGTAAGACACTATAATGAACCAATCACAGACTAGTATATACACAACCACAACATTAATGACCAAACTCAGGTAACGTCTCAGGATATTTTTAGGATTATTATTATTGTGTAAAATTTTGATTATTTCGAGTCTGTCTGTCCAGTCACTAGTCTAGCACTGTCAGGTACTAACTTGAACATTTATCAGATAATAGAAACTTACAGCAGATATTGTCAGCCGTGAGATACAACACCTAACACGGGTACCAAGTCTTACACGTCATAGTTGATAATCTACACAACGATGAATCAGTTGAATAATGATCACATTTGTCCTTAGGGAAGGTATTGTCTCCACAGGTAATATGGGTAATTAAACAACTTGACGTATATAATTTAGTAGTTCAGGAATGTAAATGAAGACGTTGACAAAATACTGCCACTCAACGATGAATAATTTTGCTGAATCATTATAACACCTGAGTGGGACGGATGTATGGTCGGACAGACGGACGGACGGTCGGACAGATGGACGGACGGTCGGACGGTTGGACAGATGGACGTACGGTCGGACAGACGGACACAGAGAAAGCTCACATAATCAGCCTTTATTTGAAATCAATGTTAACCTGAAGAAACAAAAATTAACCTATAGATGAAACATTTACGAAGAGTTGTGGTGTGGTGACTGACCCAACAGTAGGAGGGAGAGGGTGAGGGCCGCGATGGCCAGGGGGGCCGTCAGAGGATGGCCACCGGAGGCCAGGCTACCCCACTCACAGTTGTCGCCAGTGTGGCCCGGGCCGCACACACACAGGTAACCGGGCCGCAGGTTGTAGCAAGAGCCGCCGTGTAAACATGGCCGCCACAGGCACTCGTCCACGTCTTCACAGGTGTGGCCCTCTAGCTTTCGTCCCGGGCCACAGCTGAGGGAAAAAGAGTTTGAACACCATCGTGGCCATAAATGTGGCCCTCTGAGGTGTTCTGGGTTACACTGAAGGACGGCCAACATTAACAAAATATGACACTTACTAACTGATAACCTGGACCGCAGTTGAGGAAAAAAAAAGGCCACCTGATGTAGCTCTTAGCCGCCTAATGTAGCTCTTGGCCACCTGATGTAGCTCTTGGCCACCTAATGTAGCTCTTGGCCACCTAATGTAGCTCTTGGCCACCTAATGCAGCTCTTGGCCACCTAATGTAGCTCTTGGCCACAAATAAAAGAATATAACAGAAATACCAACACCATCATAGATACAAGGGCATCACCATACACTACAACATCAACCAACTGAGACATACAAGTGTTTCCTCAGTTCCTCACCAACAGGAGCAGAGACAAACACACCCCCAGGAGACGTAATAAACACACTCATATACACATCACTTTAAACACAGTCGTAATATCAACAACAGGTGATATTAATTAAGAAAATGTGTTAGGTGTTGTTCCGGATAATGTAAACACTGCATATATTAGGTGTCCGTTTAAGTGAGTGTTGTTAAGGTGATGTGAACTTTATTACTGGAGATAAATGTGTCCTGACGTGTCCACTAAAGCTGACGGTTGATATTTAAGGTAAAGGGTCGGGTTTATTGTGAGAACTGAGAGTGGAGGTACTCAACAGTGTGGTGTACTGAGAGAGAGTGGAGGTACTGAGAGAGTGTGAGAGAGTGGAGGTACTCGACAGTGTGAGAGAGTGGAGGTACTCGACAGTGTGAGAGGTGAGAGAGTGGAGGTACGCGACAGTGTGAGAGGTGAGAGAGTGGAGGTACTCGACAGTGTGAGAGGTGAGAGAGTGGAGGTACTCGACAGTAGGGTAGTGTTGTGAAAGTTGAGGTAGAGTAAAGGCTGGTGGTGACAGAGTGCCAGTAGTGGTAAAGTTTGGGGAGACAGGATGGTGACAACCCTTTATACTTTACCTAAACCAACAATTGTCACCTACAGCAGGCACGGTCCGGGGGTACCTACCTACAGCAGGCACGGTCCGGGGGTACCTACCTACAGCAGGCACGGTCCGGGGGTACCTACCTACAGCAGGCACGGTCCGGGGGTACCACCACAGCATACGGTCCGGGGTACTCCACCTGCCAGCAGGCCGGTCCGGGGGTACCTACCTACACCAGGGCACGGTCCGGGGGCACCCACCGCTGGCAGGTACGGTCCGGGGGTACCTGGCCTCACACCAGGTACACGGTCCGGGGTACCCCACCTACAGCAGGCAGCACGGTCCAGGGGTACCCCACCTGCCAGCAGGCACGGTCCAGGGGGTACCCACCTACAGCAGGTGGCTGGTCCGGGGGCACCTACCTACAGCAGGCATCGGTCCGGGGCACCACCTGCCAGCAGGTACGGTCCGGGGGCACCCCACCTACAGCAGGTACGGTCCGGGGCACGCATCCACAGCAGGCACGGTCCGGGGGGGGTACCACCACAGCAGGCACGGTCCGGGGGTACTACCTACAGCAGGCACGGTCCGGGGGTACCCACCACACCAGGGGTATCGGTCTGGGGTACCCACCACACAGGCTGGTCCGGGGGTACCCACTCTACAGCAGGCATGGTCCGGGGCATCACCTACAGCAGGTATGGTCCGGGGCCCACCCACAGTGGGTACGGTCCGGGGTACCCACTCTGCCAGCAGGCACGGTCCGGGGGTACCCTACCTGGCCAGCAGGCAGTACGGTCCAGGGGTACTCTACCCACACCAGGCACGGTCCGGGGTACGTACCTACAGCAGGCACGGTCCGGGGTACGTACCTACAGCAGGCACGGTCCGGGGCATGTACCACAGCAGGCACGGTCCGGGGGGGGTGCCCACTCACAGCAGGCACGAACTGGGGGGGTGGGGCTCTACCTGCCAGCAGGTACGGTCCGGGGGTACCTACCACACCAGGCACGGTCCGGGGGGGTACCACCTGCCACCAGGCACGGTCCGGGGGTACCTACCCACAGCAGGCACGGTCCGGGGTACCTTACCCACAACACCAGGCAGCACGGTCCGGGGGTACGTACCTACAGCAGGCACGGTCCGGGGGTACCTACCTACACCAGGTACGGTCCGGGGGTACCTACCTACAGCAGGCACGGTCCGGGGGTACGTACCTACACCAGGTACGGTCCGGGGGTACGTACCTACAGCAGGCACGGTCCGGGGGTACCTACCTACACCAGGTACGGTCCGGGGGTACGTACCTACCAGGCACGGTCCGGGGTACCTACCTACAGCAGGTACGGTCAGGGGTACCTACCTACAGCAGGTACGGTCAGGGGTACCTACCTACAGCAGGTACGGTCAGGGGTGCCTACCTACAGCAGGCACGGTCAGGGGTACCTACCTACACCAGGCACGGTCAGGGGTACCTACCTACAGCAGGTACGGTCCGGGGTACCACCAGGCACGGTCAGGGGTACCTACCTACACCAGGCACGGTCGGGGGTGCCTACACCAGGCACGGTCGGGGGTACCTACCTACAGCAGGTACGGTCAGGGGTACCTACAGCAGGTACGGTCAGGGGTCACCTACCTGGCAGGTACGGTCAGGGGTACCTACCTACAGCAGGCACGGTCGGGGTACCTACCTACCAGGCACGGTCGGGGTGCCTACCTACACCAGGCACGGTCGGGGGTACCTACCAACAGGTACGGTCAGGGGTACCTACCTACAGCAGGTACGGTCAGGGGTACCTACCTACAGCAGGTACGGTCAGGGGTACCTACCTACACCAGGCACGGTCAGGGGTGCCTACCTACACCAGGCACGGTCTGGGTGCCTACCCTACACCAGGCACGGTCAGGGTACGTACCTACAGCAGGTACGGTCGGTACGTACCTACAGCAGGCACGGTCGGGGTGCGTACCTACAGCAGGCGGTCGGGGTGCGTACCTACAGGCGGTCCGGGGGTACGTACCTACAGCAGGCACGGTCGGGGTACCTACCTACAGCAGGTACGGTCGGGGTACCTACCTACACCAGGCACGGTCGGGGTGCGTACCTACAGGCACGGTCCGGTGCGTACCTACAGCAGGCACGGTCGGGGGTACGTACCTACAGCAGGCACGGTCGGGGTGCCTGCCTGCCTACAGCAGGTACGGTCGGTGCCTACCTACACCAGGCACGGTCAGGGTACCTACCTACAGCAGGTACGGTCGGGGTACCTACCTACAGCAGGCACGGTCAGGGTACGTACCTACAGCAGGTACGGTCCGGGGTGCCTACCTACAGCAGGCACGGTCGGGGGTACGTACCTACACCAGGCACGGTCGGGGGTACCTACCTACACCAGGCACGGTCCGGGGTACCTACCTACAGCAGGTACGGTCGGGGGTACCTACCTACAGCAGGTACGGTCCGGGGTACCTACCTACACCAGGCACGGTCGGGGTACCTACCTACAGCAGGTACGGTCGGGGTACCTACCTACAGCAGGTACGGTCCGGGGTACCTACCTACACCAGGCACGGTCCGGGGTACCTACCTACACAGGCACGGTCGGGGTACCTACCTACAGCAGGTACGGTCAGGGTACCTACCTACAGCAGGTACGGTCCGGGGTACCTACCTACAGCAGGTACGGTCCAGGGGTACCTACCTACAGCAGGTACGGTCAGGGGTACCTACCTACACCAGGCACGGTCGGGGTACCTACCTACAGCAGGTACGGTCAGGGGTACCTACCTACAGCAGGTACGGTCGGTACCTACCTACAGCAGGTACGGTCGGGGTTACCTACCTACACCAGGCACGGTCCGGGGTACCTACCTACAGCAGGTACGGTCGGGGGTACCTACCTACAGCAGGTACGGTCCGGGGTACCTACCTACAGCAGGTACGGTCGGGGTACCTACCTACAGCAGGCACGGTCAGGGGTGCCTACCTACAGCAGGTACGGTCCGGGTACCACCTACAGCAGGTACGGTCAGGGGTACCTACCTCAGGCACGGTCGGGGTGCGTACCTACAGCAGGCACGGTCAGGTGCCTACCTACAGCAGGTACGGTCGGGGTACCACACCACAGCAGGCACGGTCAGGGGTACGTACCTACAGCAGGTACGGTCCGGGGTACCTACCTACAGCAGGCACGGTCGGGGTGCCTACCTACACCAGGCACGGTCGGGTGCCTACCTACACCAGGCACGGTCAGGGGTACGTACCTACAGCAGGTACGGTCGGGTACCTACCTACACCAGGCACGGTCGGGGGTACCTACCTACACCAGGCACGGTCCGGGGTACCTACCTACACCAGGCACGGTCCGGGGTACCTACCTACACCAGGCACGGTCCGGGGTACCTACCACCACCAGGCACGGTCCGGGGTACCTACCTACACCAGGCACGGTCCGGGGGTACCTACCTACACCAGGCACGGTCGGGGTACCTACCTACAGCAGGCACGGTCCAGGGGTACCTACCTACAGCAGGTACGGTCCGGGGGTACCTACCTACAGCAGGCACGGTCAGGGGTGCACCTACCTACAGGCACGGTCAGGGTACCTACCTACACCAGGCACGGTCCGGGGGTACCTACCTACAGCAGGTACGGTCCGGGGTACCTACCTACACCAGGCACGGTCCGGGGTACCTACCTACACCAGGCACGGTCCGGGGTACCTACCTACACCAGGCACGGTCGGTACCTACAGCAGGTACGGTCCGGGGTACCTACCTACAGCAGGTACGGTCAGGGGTACCTACCTACAGCAGGTACGGTCAGGGGTACCTACCTACAGCAGGCACGGTCAGGGTACCTACCTACACCAGGCACGGTCCGGGGTACGTACCTACACCAGGCACGGTCGGGGTACGTACCTACAGGCACGGTCGGGGTGCGTGCCTACACCAGGCACGGTCCGGGGTACGTACCTACCAGGCACGGTCGGGGGTACCTACCTACACCAGGCACGGTCGGGGATACCTACCTACACCAGGCACGGTCCGGGGTACGTACCTACACCAGGCACGGTCGGGGTACCTACCTACACCAGGCACGGTCGGGGGTACGTACCTACACCAGGCACGGTCCGGGGTACGTACCTACACCAGGCACGGTCGGTACCTACCTACACCAGGCACGGTCGGGGTACGTACCTACACCAGGCACGGTCCGGGGGTACCTACCTACACCAGGCACGGTCGGGGGTACCTACCTACACCAGGCACGGTCCGGGGGTACCTACCTACACCAGGCACGGTCCGGGGCGTAACCTACAGCAGGCACGGTCCGGGGTACCTACCTACCAGGCACGGTCCGGGGTACCTACCTACACCAGGCGGTCCGGGGGTACCTACCTACCAGGTACGGTCGGGGGTACCTACCACCAGGCACGGTCAGGGGTACCTACAGCAGGTACGGTCCGGGGTACCTACCTACACCAGGCACGGTCGGGGGTACGTACCTACAGCAGGTACGGTCAGGGTACTACCTACAGCAGGTACGGTCCAGGGTACCTACCTACACCAGGCACGGTCGGGGTACGTACCTACAGCAGGTACGGTCCGGGGGTACCTACAGCAGGTACGGTCCAGGGGTACTACCTACACCAGGTACGGTCAGGGGTACCTACCTACACCAGGCACGGTCCGGGGGTACGTACCTACAGCAGGTACGGTCCGGGGTACCTACCCAGCAGGCACGGTCAGGGTACCTACCTACACCAGGTACGGTCGGGGTACGTACCTACAGCAGGTACGGTCCGGGGGTACCTACCTACACCAGGCACGGTCCGGGGTACGTACCTACAGCAGGCACGGTCGGGGGTACGTACCTACACCAGGTACGGTCGGGGTACCTACCTACACCAGGTACGGTCCGGGGGTACGTACCTGCAGGAAAGAGCCCAGGAGTACTTACCTGCAGGAGGCACGGCCCCAGGTGCTGGTGCAGGAGAGGGGCGGGCTACAAGTAGTGTTAAAACAGGCGTCAGGAGCCCGGCAGCCGCGGGTCACTCTCTCAGAGGTCGACCTGACCCCAGCTGGTCCCGTTTACGGCTGGTGGTAATGGCAGTGATCGACCAGACACCCGCAGGTCATCCACGCAGCCTGGGAGATCAGGTCAAACGAGGTCATTAACCAGCTAAGATGATTATGATTAAAGAAATTGACAATTATCTCTGAGATTTTACGTCGTGTGTGTGTGTGTGTGTGTGTGTGTGTGTGTGTGTGTGTGTGTGTGTGTGTGTGTGTGTGTGTGTGTGTGTGTGTGTGTGTGTGTGTGTGTGTGTGTGTGTGTGTGTGTGTGTGTGTGTGTGTGTGTGTGTGAATAGATCTTAGTATTTGGTAAAAATATCTAAAAATGTAAAGAAAAATCAAAATTTTTATTACAGGCTTTACACTCGAGAAGAAAAAAGTATTACATTATGGTATCGACCTAAAGTTAATTTATTCATAAAAGTCAAGAGTATTTAAACAGATGGAACGTGAGGGAAGACAGGTAAAGGTAAGCTCAGGTGTTATTATACAGTTGAGAACAAAATTCCTGGGCACTGTACTCAATACGTGTCATATACTTGTTTGTTTTACGTAATATTTTGGTTGTGTTACGGAGTATTTTATCACGATGTTAATGACATGATGTAGAGGTAAATATATTGACGACCGTGATCTGATTGGTGAGGTAGAGACTACTACTGTAATCTGATTGGCTAGTTAGAAGCTACTACTCTAATCTGATTGGCTAGTTGGAGGCTACGACTGTGATCTGATTGGCTAGTTGAAGGCTAGATCTGATTGGTTAGTTGGAGGCTACGACTGTGATCTGATTGGCTAGTTGGAGGCTACGACTGTGATCTGATTGGCTAGTTGAAGGCTAGATCTGATTGGTTAGTTGGAGGCTACGACTGTAATCTGATTGATTAGTTAGAAGCTAAAACGTCAGGATTAGTAAAACAGATTATCCTTTCCTGATGGAACTCCGAGACAGTGTAATGAAGTTCTGTTTATGGGAATTTTATGCAAAGCAAGATGAATGAAGCGGGTAGGAGGGAAGAGGAGAAGAAGAGGAGAGGAGGAGGAATAGGTTAAGGGAGGAGAGAAGGGAAATGAGAGATATATGGGGTCATAAAGTTGGAAGAGGAGGAGGAGGAGGAAAGGGAGGAGAAGTAGGGAGGGAGAGAAGAAAGAAGATAAATGTGGAAGTAGAAGAAGGAAATTCAAAATAGCCACGATGAAGAAGAAGAAGAAGGCGTAGGAGGAAGATGATAATAAAGACTAAGGACAAATAAGAAAATATGACCAATCAACCAAAACAAGAGAAAGAGAGGAGCGAGAGACAAGACGAAAGCGGGAGGGAAGAAAGAGGAAAGAGGTGGTAAGAGGAATGAGCAATGATTTGGGGGAGAGCGAAGATAGACGCCCTAAAGATGATGGTAGTGGGAGGAGGAGGTAGAGGAGGGAGGAGGAGGAGGAGGAGGAGGAGGAGGAGGAGGAGGAGGAGGAGGTAGAGGAGGAGGAGGAGGAGGAGGAGGAGGGAGGTAGAGGAGGAGGAGGAGGAGGAGGAGGAGGAGGAGGAGGGAGGGCAACCTGGCATCTCTCTCCACATAATTCTCAAGATTCTGCTACGTCTCTCCCACAGCTGGTTCTTTAGGCTAGTCGTCTCTCCACAGCTGGTTCTTTAGGCTAGTCGCCTCTCCCGGCTGGTTCTTTAGGCTAGTCGTCTCTCCCACAGCTGGTTCTTTAGGCTAGTCGTCTCTCCCACAGCTGGTTCTTTAGGCTAGTCGTCTCTCCCAGCTGGTTCTTTAGGCTAGTCGTCTCTCCCACAGCTGGTTCTTTAGGCTAGTCGTCTCCCACAGCTGGTTCTTTAGGCTAGTCGTCTCTCCCACAGCTGGTTCTCCTACAGCTGGTTCTTGTAGGCTGGTCGTCTCTCCACAGCTGGTTCTCCCACACTGGTTCTTTAGGCTAGTCATCTCTCCCACAGCTGGTTCTCCCACAGTTCTTTAGGCTAGTCGTCTCTCCACAGCTGGTTCTTTTAGGCTAGTCGTCTCTCCCACAGCTGGTTCTCCCACACTGGTTCTTTAGGCTAGTCGTCTCTCCCACAGCTGGTTCTCCACAGCTGGTTCTTTAGGCTAGTCGTCTCTCCCACAGCTGGTTCTCCCACACTGGTTCTTTAGGCTAGTCGTCTCTCCCACAGCTGGTTGTTTAGGCTAGTCGTCTCTCCCACAGCTGGTTCTCCCACAGCTGGTTCTTTAGGCTAGTCGTCTCTCCCACAGCTGGTTCTTTATACATCCGGTTCTCTCCCTAACCTGACTTCGAGAGACGTAGAGTGAGGGGCGATATGATCGAGGTGTATAATTGGAAGTCAGGGCTAAACAAAGGGGACATTACAAAGGTACTCAACCAAATTTAGATTTAGGCGCTAAATAGGTAAACATTGGTTTGGGAATAGAGTAGTGGACGAGTGGAACAAGTTACCAAACATCATCATTAACTCGAATATGCTGGATAGCTTCAAACATAGGTTGGATGGATATATGAGCAATAGGGGTTGGGTGTAAATGGGACTGCCCAGTATGGACCAATAGGCCCGCTGCAGTTTCCTCCATTCTTATGTTCTTAGGCTAGGCTAGGTTAGGTTAGGTTAGGTTAGGTTAGGTTAGGTTAGGTTAATAGACGCTACAGTGTAAATATGACGGTAGAGGAACACCAGCTCGGTAGACTATTGTATAGTTCCCTTTAATCTGTCTCTCTCCTCACCTAATGGCCGGGATTATTCTTGTCATCCTCCTCTGAATTCTTTATAAGGATTCAGTATTTATTCACCGTACTACAGACACACGTGAGTCACTATAGACAGCGTGAGGCAATTACTGTGTTTAATACTGTACAATTGTATCAGTAATGTTCACACACACACTGCACATACACACACACACACTGCACACGCACACACACCTGCACACACACACACACACACACACACACACTGCACACACACACACCTGCACACACACACACACACACACACACTGCACACACACACACACACACACACACACACACACACAGGTGGGTGGTACTCACTCTCGGTGAGGTCGTCGTGGACGGTGGTGAGACTGACGCCCGCGAACTCCGGCACGCCGCCCACCGTCACTCCGTCGTGTTTGTCGACCTCGAGGGGGGCGGGCGGGGTGCTGGTGTCCTGGGCGGGGTTCAGTAGAGACGCCAGTGTCTCATTACGTCGCCAGCCGTCACCATCGTCGACGCTGATGACGAGGTTGTGTCCGTGACGCTCAGCCCTGACAGTGTGCCACGCCCCGTCACCCACGGGTCGACCCTCCACACAGGCCGCCCGCGCCGCCCACCCCGCCCCTGACACTGACACACACGCCACGCCCGCACGCAGCTGAGGGAGACAATATGTCGTGACAACATGTGCAGTATTATGTATTACATCAACAGTATATGTTCCATTACTTAGTGTGTGTGTGTGCGTACGGCCAGCTATTGATAATGTGTGTGTGTGTGTGTGTGTGTGTGTGTGTGTGTGTGTGTCAATAATACGTGTGTGTGTACAGTAAGGACGGCGACTCACGTGCAGGGTGAAGGCAGCAGCACGGTGGTGGGCCGCCAGGTGCAGGAGGAGGCCATGCCGGGGCCCGCGGGTCCTCACCCTCACCTGTACCGTCAACACCCGCGGTGCCGGCGTGAAGGACAGCGCCACCTTCATATAGGAAGACTTGCCCAGGGCCGCGGGCACGGTGGGGGAGGCACAGTTGGGACCCGCCCACCCGGGGTCACACTCACACTGCGGGTCGTTCAGGCCACCCTCACACTGCCCGCGCTGACCACACCCGTTTACGCCGCCAGGGCAGGCCACCTCCTGGGGGTGGCAGCCACCCTCGCTGCTCCTGCTGTAGGCCGGCTCGCCCAGGTCCACCAGCTGCAACGACGCTGCAGGACAGTCAGTTAATGCATCTTCTTACCCGCCTCCAGAACTGTATGTCAACACCTATCAATACTCCGTCCACCTGCCGTACACTACACGGGGAGCAACACCATATATTTGGTGTATAGATGAATAACTATTGTATAAACTATTGGTCTTGAGGTTAACACAACCCTGACGTAACAAAGCATAATATTTGTGTTCTCACCTGACCGTTGAGGGTGAGGTGTGAGATGCAGCCGTCCAGCGGGTGTGCGGTGGGCGCCCTCTCCCACCCATGGTCCTCAGGCAGCGGGGGCGTGTGAGCCAGACCGCCCAATTGCAGGGGCGGGGACCCCATCCACGCCTCGACGCCTCTAGGTGATGTCCAGTCCGCCCGCACCACACAGTGGGAGTCGTTGTGTGGGCGGCCGCCCCATCCACTTCCACACAGGTCCACCATCACCGACACACCCTGGCCGTGTTGTAACTAGGTTAAAGGTTCATGTTCCTGTAGATAACACACACACACACACACACACACACACACACACACACACACACACACACACACACACACACACACACACACACACACACACACACACTACCCACTTGGTTTTGGTCAATGACGTACGCCAACTCTACGTTAGTCGAGCACTTAGTGAGACTCGTGGACGGCAGCAGTACAGTACTGTCACCACTGAAGGACTGTACTCAACCCTGGACAAGGACTCATTGTACTGGGATGTCCTTTAGTTCAGAGTGACTGTGGAGTCGTGTTAAAGGACAGGTGGATCCCGAATTCTCAAAGATCCCAATATTTGTTTTTCTCCCAACAATTTCTAATACATTTTGTACATTGTATTAGGCTGGTTTAGTGAGTTACCTGTCCACCTTTCTTGACCTGACTGATAATGTGTTTCCTTCGTATTGTTTATATTGTCTTTAAGTGTCTTTGCTGGCCATCATCTTGTGACCTCGTTTGACCCGCGTGTATAAAGCATTCAAGTGATCACTACAACACCGATAAAAGGTTATAAGAGGAGAATGACCTCACAATCACTCCCTGTCTAAGAGGTCATCAGAGGGCAACTCGTCCAGAAAGTTTAATGTGAGGCAGTGGAGAGAGAGAGAGAGAGAGAGAGAGAGAGAGAGAACGTACTTGAGAGCTGAGGTGGAGGTGGAGTGTGTGCCAGTTACCGTCGTGGACTGTCGTGTTGACCTGAACCTTGAGGGGACCTCCTCCACCCTCGAGAAGAACCTGTGGGCGTCCCTGCCATAGCTGCACGGCTAACATAGGCGTGGGCGGGGAGTGAAGGGGCCGGGGTTGGGGCGCCAGAGGACCGGAGTAGAGGAGTAGGGCGTGTGGGCGGCGGGTGAGGAGCTTGAGGGACACGGTGAGGGGAAGGCACGGGGGTAAGGGCCTCACCCACGCCCACCCCGACCCACTGAACGTCCGGGCCAGCACCTTACACCTGGGGCCCACCGACCCCTGGGGACACACACACCTGCAGCAGTCAACCTCAGTCAGTTTAATAATCAGTAATTAACCTGTGTTCTCTAACCTGTAACCCACCTGGGATCAGTTGATATTATGTTACAATTATATAAACAAACAACACACACACACACACACACACACACACACACACACACACACACACACACACACACACACGGGACAATTCCATTAAAACTTGTAATAAAAACACGTGTTCCCCCGCTCAATAATATCCTCCACTTTGATGCACCAGATGACGCCGAGTTTTGGTGTGTATGAATGACGATATTTCCCCATAGCCACATACCAGGGTGGACGGTGGGAGTTATGAACGAGAGACTCACACGGCATATAGATCACCCCTTCCCCCCCCTCCACCCATCTATCTGTACCTCCCTCTCACCTCTCCCTCTCCCACCTCCCTTCCTACCCCCCCTCTCCATCTCCTCTGCCTGGAATTATTTAAACATATCTGTTGCAATTGTAAAAAAAAAATGTGCGGTGGTCGAATTGATACACCACTCGCTTCCTGTTTCATGGGTCGCTCGTTCGATACCCGGGCACTCCCAGTTCACCCAGATGTAAATGGGCATCTGAGTTCAAAGTAAAGGGAAGTGAATGCGGTAGTGTGCAGTACCGGCCATGCTGCCTCCTTGTGTACCGATGGCTTAGCACTTTAGTAGAAATTATGTGTTAAATGTTGATAATACGTCAGTTGTAATGTGTCTTGAGAGAAGATGTTTACAATGAATATTAAATCATTGACTAAACGAGGAATATTGAGTGAATGAATGAATGAGTGAATGAATGAGTGAATGAATGAGTGAATGAATGAATGAGTGAATGAATGAATGAGTGAATGAATGAGTGAGTGAATGAATGAGTGAATGAATGAATGAATGAGTGAATGAATGAGTGAATGAATGAGTGAATGAGTGAATGAATGAATGAATGAATGAGTGAATGAGTGAATGAATGAGTGAATGAATGAATGAATGAGTGAATGAATGAGTGAATGAATGAATGAGTGAATGAATGAATGAGTGAGTGAGTGAATGAATGAGTGAATGAATGAATGAGTGAATGAGTGAATGAATGAATGAATGAATGAATGAGTGAATGAATGAATGAATGAATGAATGAATGAGTGAATGAATGAATGAATGACCTGCCTTGTCGTCACATCAGGTGGGGGGGGGGGCAGATATCTTGGAGGGTGACCACTTGAGTGTTTTCTTCAGCATCTCCCACAAAACTTCGATTATTGACCAGTCATCATAATTTTCCCCTGAGTCCAAGAAATCATTTAGGATTGGGAGTCACTCTTCCCTTGTGGTCTGTTTTATGTTCAGCTTTTGAAAATATATTGCATCGTCTCCAGTAGAATATCAATTGAATGAGTTTGAATGTACAATGGATTCACCTTTTTTTTTTCGTGAGTCATAAATGTTTTTCATAGTTTTTTTTTTTTAGTTTATTTGTTCCTGTGGTACCGTTTTTTATTTAATCTTCCAAACTTTTATATAAATTTACGTGTTTTGGGTTATACATGACATTGGTGATTATTCATTTTTTATTTGTATTTTTTCGTGTGATTGTATTTTTTTCTTCACTTTTTATTCATAATTTTCATCTCTCTCTCTCTCTCTCTCTCTCTCTCTCTCTCTCTCTCTCTCTCTCTCTCTCTCTCTCAGACGTAATCCTGAACACTCCACACTCAGGTAATTACTTGATCTACCCGTGTCCTGATCTACCTTCAAGCTCTCCTACTTCACTAACACACTCCTCAAGCTCCTCCTTCAAGCTTTCATTCAACCTCCTCCCTACCTCAAGCTTTCATTCAACCTCCTCCTTTAAGCTTTCATTCAGCCTCCTCAACTGTACAGCATCACACTTGTACACGAGGGATGGAACAAAACCTGATCTCTCCTTATGCCTCTGTACAACACACCTCCCACCCCCTCCCTCACCACACCCCTCCAACCCCCCCCCCCTCCTGCCACAATCTCAGGCACACAAACACACACACACAAACACACATAAACACACACACACAAACACACACACACAAACACACACACACAAACAACTTTCTGTCCCTCCTTCCAACAGTCTCTTGCCATGTTTTCACCATGTAAGGGATAAATGTATCTGCCCGTAGTTGTTGTCAGGTTGAATGTGTGTGGATATCGTTTCTTTGTGAATGGAGGAAGAAGTTAGGTTTTGGTTGTAGCGGTTTGTGGGGGGGGGAATACATTTACCTGTGTATGCTAATAGATACTGACTCTCAATAGTGTGTTAGTTCTGCCTCTCTACTGCAGTGTGAGGAGGTGTGTGATGGTAAATATTCACTATATTAAAGGTAACTGGTTATATTATCTTCCTCACCATGATCTGGGAGGTGGTCAGGGTGTGGGGGGGAGGGATGTGGCCAGGGGTGTGGAAGTAATGTGGGGAGGGTAGTCAGGGTGTGAGTAGTGTGTGTGGGGGGGGGGATGTGACCAGCAGGTTTGCAGTAAAGAAAGAATCCGGAGAGAGGTGGTCAATAAGCCCCACTAGGACATCTCTCAGCCTAGAACGTGTGAGACAAACCTGGCCCCTCTCAGTCCCCCCAGCCCTCCCACCCGGCCCCCAGCCCTCCCAACTCTCACCCGTCACACAAATATTAATGGTATATTAAACATTACCAACAAACACTCAGTCCTCACATTAATGTTAAGATTCTCCTAAACACAACACACATGTTTATTGATGTGTCGTAACATGAGACTGGCCGCCATGTTGTGTGATTCAATAAAGGAAATTGTTTTTAAATAATAATAATAATAAATGAATATGGAATTAAAATACGTATTGGCTGGGTTTATTGGGGGTGTTTATTGGGTGGGTAGTTGTGTGTTTATTGGCTGGGCTTACTGGCTGGGTTATTGGCTGGGTTGGGTTTATTGGCTGGGCTACGGCCATATATTAGCCACCGCATCACCCATCCATCAGGATCATACCATCAGCCATCCCTCTCCTCACCATCCTCACTCAGCCTCCACATCAGGCCTCTGGGATCACACCCTCAATTATCATGTTCGTCTGGCTGGTTTGTTTTGGTGGGTTTATTGGGGTGTTTTTATTGTGTTTATTAGCTGGGTTTATTGGGGTGTTTTTGGCTGCGTTTGTTATGAGAGTTTATTCATTTCTGACAATTTTTTTTTTAGTTTTGATAATAAGTTGAATTTTTCTTTGTCCTACTCGCTCGCTCTTTCTTGTTTCTTTTGTTTTTTGTTTATTTGTTTCTTTTCTCTTATTGTGACTTAACTCTGTAACCCGTGAAAACACTGTCTTGTTCTCGTCTCCCTGCGTGTTTATTTATGCATAAGTGAATTCAATCTGACTGCATACTAAAACGTTCTTTCCATCTCGTCTTCCCTTTAAGGCTGGTACACACGTCCTGTCTCGTGGTCTCTTTGTTGGACGGAATAGACGGGAATAGGACGCAGAAAGTAGGTAAGACTTCTTTTATCTGTTCAGTGTATGTCAGTATAACGGGGTAATACTGTTGTTATCTGTTCAGTGTATGTCAGTATAACGTAATACTGTTGTTATCTGTTCAGTGTATGTCAGTATAACGGGGTAATACTGTTGTTATCTGTTCAGTGTATGTAAGCAACGGGGTAATACTGTTGTTATCTGTTCAGGTATGACAGTATATACGGGGTAATACTGTTGTTGTTATCTGTTCAGTGTATGACAGTATAACGGGGTAATACTGTTGTTGTTATCTGTTCAGTGTGACAGTATAACGTAATACTGTTGTTATCTGTTCAGTGTATGACAGTATAACGATAATACTGTTGTTGTTATCTGTTCAGTGTATGACAGTATAACGGGGTAATACTGTTGTTATTATCTGTTCAGTGTATGACAGTATAACGGGTAATACTGTTGTTATCTGTTCAGTGTATGACAGTATAACGGGATACTGTTGTTGTTATCTGTTCAGTGTCGACAGTATAACGGGGTAATACTGTTGTTATCTGTTCAGTGTATGACAGTATAACGGGTAATACTGTTGTTATCTGTTCAGGGTATGACAGTATAACGGGTAATACTGTTGTTATCTGTTTGTGGCGACAGTATACGTGTTATCTGTTCATGATACAGTATAACGGGTAATACTGTTGTTGTTATCTGTTCAGTGTATGACAGTATAACGGGGTAATACTGTTGTTGTTATCTGTTCAGGTGTGACAGTATAACGGGGAATACTGTTGTTATCTGTTCAGTGTATGACAGTATAACGATAATACTGTTGTATCTGTTCAGTGTATGACAGTATAACGGGGTAATACTGTTGTTATTATCTGTTCAGTGTATGGACAGTATAACGGGGTAATACTGTTGTTATCTGTTCAGTGCATGACAGTATAACGGGGTAATACTGTTGTTGTTATCTGTTCAGTGTATGACAGTATAACGGGGTAATACTGTTGTTATCTGTTCAGTGTATGACAGTATAACGGGGTACGTTGTTATCTGTTTCAGTGTATGACAGTATGACGGGGTAATACTGTTGTTATCTGTTCAGTGTATGACAGTATAACGATAATACTGTTGTTATTTGTTCAGTGTATGACAGTATAACGGGGTAATACTGTTGTTATCTGTTCAGTGTAGCGTCAGTATAACGGGGTAATACTGTTGTTGTATCTGTTCAGTATGACAGCATAACGTAATACTGTTGTTATCTGTTCAGTATGACAGTATAACGGATAATACTGTGTTGTTATCTGTTCAGTGTGTGACAGTATAACGGGTAATACTGTTGTTGTTATCTGTTCAGTGTATGACAGTATAACGGGGTACTGTTGTTATCTGTTCAGTGTATGACAGTATAACGGGGTAATACTGTTTTATGTTCAGTGTATGTCAGTATAACGGGGTAATACTGTGTTATCTGTTCAGTGTATGACAGTATAACGGGGTAATACTGTTGTTACTGCCGAGTATGATAGTATAACGGGGTAATACTGTTATCTGTTCAGGTGTATGACAGTATAACGGGAATACTGTTGTTATCTGTTCAGTGTATGACAGTATAACGGAGTAATACT